GTCCTGCGACTTTTACTCCAGTCTGACTTATATAGTAAAATGTTCACACTGACAGCTGCGGGAGGCTCTAGGCTTGTGTATCAGTATCTGCTTCTCCTGTTCCTCTTGTACCACTGTCACCTCACTCTACTGCGCATGTCTCCTGCAGAAAGACCCTCTGTCCTGTCAGTATCGTGTCAGTCGATCGCACCATTACTTTAAATTTAAACAAACTTATAAAGACAACTGAGAACACTGAACACTAATGTCCTCAAAACAGAAAATCATACTTTGCTGATTACAAGCTGCAAGTAGCGAAGCATGCAGCAGAAAACAGTAATCACGCAGCAGAAATAAAGTTTAGAGTGTGCAAGAAACTTGTGACACCGGGAGGATGCACCATGCAACTTTCCTGGAAGTCACTGGATGAATCGACAAAGCCTGGACTTCAGTGACACCGAAACCATCCTGTCGGGATTCAGCAAGGCCAGAATAATTCTAACTGGAACTGATGCTTAGTCTGATGACAGCGACGCAGAAGCACAAGCGGCGTTCCATTTACCTCCGGAGGTCGCCGAGTTGCTCACAAGTGACACCGAGGATGAAGAATTCAGTGGATTTAGTGATTTGGAATGAGATGGAGAGTTGTTAAACTTGTTCTGTTCTGTTGTTTTTTGCTATAATTATCTGAAGAACTGTTCATATGTGACGTTAACAGCCTGTTGTTCTCTGTTCTATCTCTGTTCGCTTTTCCCCAAAAAAGCGACTTTTGTTCTTCTTGTTTTTTTCTTCTTGATTACACTTTTTTTGGCTGGTGCGACTTATACTCCGGAGTGATTTATAATCCGAAAAATATGGTATTCAATTTTTATTTTTTTTTCCAAATCTGCGTTTACTTATTTGAATGAGTCCTGGAATTTCATTGAACCTGGAGCTATGACATTATCACACAACATATTCTGAGATTCTGTTTACGTGTTTTTATTGTTAAAAACTGACTTTGTGACATGTGTGACCCAAATTGGGGCAGTGGGAGTAGATAGGGGGTGGGTAAAATTTTCTGGGCACTCAAGCTTCAAATGCAAGACAACAGAACTACTCACACATCCATAAGTCAATCAAAATACTACTCTGGGTAAGCTACTGATACGGTAACACCATTATACCATAGTTAAACCTCATCAAAGTAAATTTTTGATATTATTTCCCCTTTAAATAAAGCAAGCTTTGAGGAAAGGTCAACAGTCGGGACGAATGCATAATTTTGTGTTCATTTAACTGCCTTCAAAGTGAAACTGCAGCATGGAGGTTTCATATTCTGGAATATCTTCAAAAACGTGGAGCGGTTTTGTCCCTGGCAGCAACAAAACATCAGCGCCCACAGCTCACTCACTTTTTGACCTCCACGAGACACCGTACACCGCGCATACAAATCAGATGCAGGATTTTGAGTAATGTAGGTCGTTACTGTAGTCATTGTAGTAGTAGTAGTAGCAGTAGTAGTAGTAGTAGTAGTAGTTCTGAATCTAATAGTACTAAATATACATGCTTACAAGAGTCTATTTACATTTATTTTCAGCCCTGCAGTAAAAGCACATTTTTGTCCATAATATTGATAAAAACTAGCAAATCAGGACCTGTGAACTGACTCTTATAGAAGAAAGTAAGGAAGTACTACTAATAGAAGTATCAATAGTAGTCGCACTAATAATTTCTTTGATATATAGCACTTTTCAAGATACTTTTACAAGAACTTTATGTTGTATTATTCATTCACGCCGCGTATTCACTGAAATGGCTTGGGAAAGACCAAAGCAAGGCTACCCATCTGCACCATCGGCCCCTCTGACTCCCACGTGAAGAGTAAACGGTGATGAGTCTTGCCCAAGGACACAATGAAAGCATGCACTGGGCAGAGCAAGGACCACTGTTATTGCATTGTGATAGCACTCTGAAGGGGTAGTGACATAGCAGAGGGAGTAAAAGGAGGTGAGACTCAGAGCGGTAAAAACAAAGCAACATTTTCAAAACAGTAAAAGGTAACATTATGATTTAAATATGTTATGTGCTAACAATTAATACCCCACAGATGTGTATACCTGGTCTGTAAGGTTATGTTCAGACTGCAGCCTGAAGTGACCCAAATTTGACTTTTTCGCCCCTGTGTGACCTCTATCTGATCTTTTAATGACAGTCTGAATGACACAGATCAGATTTTTTCAAATGCAACCCAGGCCGCTTGGATATTTCCTCCTAAAACCGATACATATCCGATCTTTTGACATGCGACTTCAGTCTCAACGGTCAGGTCACATTCATCCCACCTACGCGTCAGGCGCAGAGTCTCATCAATGGAGGGAAAGTGAGGCTAGTGAGTTTTTTAATATTTAAGTGGATCGTCAAATTGGAGGAGTCTTATCGGAAATGGGCGGTTTTTGAAATGATTGCCAAAGAAATGCCTGAGCATGGCTACAGGCGTCCTGGCTCCAATGTCAATGAAAAATTAAAAGCCTGCGAGACAAATACAAGGAGGCTAAAGACTCAAACAAACGAAGCAGCCGTGGATGTGTAACCTGTCCATTTTACCAAGAACTGGACTTTATTTTGAGAGACAAGCCCAGCGTTTAGGCAACTTCCACAATCACTGATCATGCTCGCTGAATGTGACAACGTTGTGTTACTTTTGGGGCGTTTAAAGTTCACACTGGAGATCACACACAAGTCAAGTGAACGACCTAGTAAAAAAAATCGCATTTGACAAAAAAAATCTGAATTAAGCATTAAGCCCTGCAGTCTGAACGTAGCCTAAGTGTTCATTTGTAGTTAATTTGTGGGACTTGCAACATTTTTTTAACTATGACTGGCAGATCACAGCAGGAGATTGAAAAAACTCCATATTGGACTATCCCTACTACAAAAACATTACACACCTTTTTGACCTCTGTTTCCGTAGACAGTGAACACAAACTAGCATCAGGTTGTTGTAAGGATCACTCTAACCACCATGATTGTGTTGTGATAGCACTCTGAAGGGGGAGTGACATAGCACAGGGAGCAAAAGGAGGTGAGACTCAGAGTGGCAAAAACACAACTGAAACTAAATAAACACGCCCATTGCTCTGTATTTACTTCAGCTGCCGTTCATCTGAGGTTCTGATAACGTCACAGCTCCTTGTTGTAAAGATGTTTACTGCGACGACAGCTCCACTGGGAACTACAGTTTTCTAACGTTTAAGTCAGCATTTCTTTTATTATGTCGTTTTAGATATTATGATCTAAAATGTGCAAATTATAACACAAAGATCCACAGTTGTCATAGATTATAACTACAGAGCAGACACAACACTGGCCAAGATTCTAAAACTTATATCAGGCTATTACATCTTGTTTTGAGATTTATTATCTACCTCCTATTTCTGAGACTGCTTAATTCTAGTCTAGAGGTAGTTTATTTTAAGGTAATTTGTCAAGTAAAATTATCTGTCCATGCAGCAGGGTAATTTCACTACAGTACTACTTTTAAGTCATTGTCTGATAGATTTAAGTGTTTATATCTTAAATTTTGGCCAAGCTTTTTTGCAGTGAAGCACAATATGTGTGTTAAAACACATTGTGCACTTTTTGGTTGGGGGTTCATCACCTGCTTGTTTCTGGAATATGTCATTGCTCTGCTTGGAATGTTCCACAGCACCACATTAAACAGCTCTACCTTACATTTTTTCAGGTCCAAGTGGTTTTACAGCTCAAAAATATCTAGAAAAACAGGCATTCTGACTGTAAGCAAGATTGCCTCTCGACAGATCTGACCTGTCACTTGGTCATGTTGGGTCTCCATGAGGATATAAAGGTTATTTGTGGACTTTGCAACAGACTTTTTTTCTTTTGACATAGATATTGGCAAACTAATATCTACAACAACAGCAGGAGATTGAAAAAAAAACTTCATATTGGACTATCTCTACTACAAAAATAGATCCTTTTGACCTCTGTGTGTTTCCAAAGACAGTGAACACAAACTAGCAGGTTTTTGCAAGGATCAGGATCACTCTACGCACCATGATTGTGTTATGATAATGCTCTGAAGGGGGAGTGACTTAGCAAAGGGAGCAAGGTGAGGTGGGAAACAAAACTGAAACTAAATAAACAACTCTACCTTACATTTATTCAGTTATAAGTGCTTTTATAGCTCAAAAATACCTGGAAAATGCACGCAATATCAATAATGTTGAATTCTCTCATCTGTTTTCAGGCATAAGGTGCACCAGATTATGAGGCGCATCAAGAGAAACAAACAGACGACATTGATTAGCCCAGGTATCCACGACCACTAATCCATGATTCATTGGCAGATTGTGGCATAATTTAAGTTTGCTTTTTTTATTTGCTATTTTTCATTTCATTATACATTGAGTAATAATGTGTTTAATGCACCTTTGCGCACATTTGTTTACATTTTACAGAAATGAAACTTAAAACCACATGGCAAATTTGTATAAATTATTTAAACAGCTCACTCCCTCTTTACTCCGCGGGGCTCCTGACAACAGTAGCCATAATGCTTCAATAATCCATCAAGCAGTGCAGCTTCGTAGCTTACCAAAGTCTTATTAAAACATTTTGACATTTTGAGTGCCGTGTACCACATAAAATTGGTTCAAGGTCAGTAAGTACAACCAGAATTAATACATAATGTACACCAGATTATAAAGCGCACTATCCATTTTTGAGAAAATAAAAGGATTTTAAGTGTGCCTTATAGTCCAAAAAATATGGTAATACCATACTATGAAACATTTTAGACAATAACATCTCCATGAAGAAAAGCATTTGACAGACCCTCCGCCAAAAAAGTTACACAATGCACCTTTAAATATAAGTTGATTTGTGGACTTTGCAACAGATGTTTTTCTTTTGACATACTGTAGATATTGGCAAACTAATATCTACAACAACAGTAAGAGAAAAACTCCATATTGGACTATCCCTGCTACAAAAACATTACAGATCCTTTTTGACCTCACCTTCTGAGCGCTGTGATGTGCTCGTCAGACAGTCCTCCATCCTCCTTCTTCACAATGAAGAGTCTGTCCTTCAGCTCGCCTGGACCCACGGGGAAGCTTTTCAGGAAAATATCTGTGAAAAAAACACAAAAAAACAGAAACAAAATAGATTAAAACAACACGTCAACAACACAGCTCAGCCAGAACATAAAAGGTGCTCATCTGACAGTTCGCTCTTTGGAGATGGAGAAGCTCAAAGAGATCTTTCCTTAATCACTCACAGAATCCACAGATAAGATACTCTTATTTGCATTGTTTACCATCAAGTGGAAGCCATTGTTGTTGGAAAAAATACATTCATTATCATGTCAAAATAATGTGACGTGAGAAAATTTAAATTGTGGCAAGTTTAGGTAACTATTAAAGAGGCTATACACATTTTTTTTTCTATAGTTCGTCGTATCATTCGAGATTCAGGAAGGGTGCTGTTAGCATGGTAGTTTTTGTAAGCATTACCGTGATGTAAAACTAAGCTCTGGCCTCTGAAAATTGTGAAAACTGCTTATAAACTAACCACTGAATAATTAGGATGCTATGCTCGTAATGCATAAGGTAAGTGAGGAATAACTTTGGACCACTGCAAACTGTGTCAAAATGAATTAATTCAGATTTTCGCACTTTTCAGACCGTAAAAATCAGCTGCAGCTTCTTAAATACTAATTGTACACACACTCTACTCCTTAGTCCCCATCAACACATGAATACTGCACGATTCAAGAGAAGTGTCGAGCTGCGGCCAGGAATTTTTCGTATGTCAGTGGAACGGCTTGGACTGTCGATGTTGTGTAGGTTTGTCTTCGATGAAACACCACAATGTCAGTAAGTTGGTTGTTTATTTCGACAACATTAATTAGCTGCTCTTTTGTCTAAATTGTATCCGAATCCAATACAAACATTAGCGATACACATGGTGGTGGCAAATCCCATGTTATGCCGTGTATATTAACAGCTAGTCAGAAGAAAGCTATGTGTTCTACTGTTTGTAGTTACAGACTATAGTTTGCAGCGAAGTTTTTGTCCTTTATTTTACGATGTAGGCAGTATTACTAAAATACATTGTTAAGCTGGATGTGATCATGTTAGCTGGAAATAGTAGCCATAGAACATTGGTGGATGTGATGTTTTGGTGGTAAACAGTAGAACATGATGTAGCTTTCTTCTGGCTAGCTGTTGATATATGAGATAACATGAGATTAGCTACTACCGAATGTGTGTCGCTAATGTTAGTATCGGATTCGGATACAATTAAGATGAAACAGTAGCTATATCAGTGATACAGCCAACGTAAGAACGCTTCTCAATTAAAGTTGCGGAAATAAACAGCCAACACCAAGGAGCCTCCCTGAAATGATGGTGTTGTAGCCTAAATACATACAGTCTATAGTTGTAGCCATATCTCTCCCTCCCCCCACACTCACTATTTCTCTCTCTCTTTCCCCTCCTCTTTCTCTCTCTATACTCTAAAAACATATTAGGCTAAACCTTCTATAGCTGCTCGACAGTGATGATGTTTACTCAACAGCTGCGTTACCAAGCTAGTTTGATGCCAGTTGAAGTCTGCCTGTGCTAGCTCCTAAACATAAATCAAGATGATTAAGATGTAATTGGACAAAAGTTATGTATTTGGCTTAGTTTGCTAACGTTTACTCTATGACTGGATATTATTTTTAAACTTCTCTTGAGAAAACCTAGTGACGAGACAGTGACGAGGTACTGGTTAGATCTGTGAAGAGGCGACCCTGCTCACACAAAGAATGCATGTCTTTAAAGGGACAGTCCGAAATTTTGGACATAGGACCTCATTTCCTAGTGAGTCTTGGAGACATGTGGAGACACTTTTTAAAATATTCCATCCAATCCTTGTATTTGCAGAGGTCGCTGGTCCTAGGCTAGTGCATGTTAATGGCCATAGTTAGCCTGCCACTAAAAACAGTCTTACTCACTCCACAAAACACCTGAAGCAAATCTATTATTACACCAGACTGTCCATGTAAATGTCTGTGTCAATAGAATAATTTTAAAAGTAAAACCAAACTTGCATTTGAAGGATTTCTGTCTGAGCAGCAGCAGTGAGTTGTTCTTCCTGATAGAAAGCTCGGCAGCGGCGGACTAATATCACCTAGCACCTATCTTACCGGCAAAGTAAAATTCCACTGCTGCTGAGAAAATAGTAATATACATTATTCTATCCTCACCCAAGGAGCAAACAGTGTTTCGGTGCAGTTTGCTTGGCTTTGTATTAGGTAGATCATTATGACTTCGTCAATTTGTAAGTAGCTCACATGCTGTGAGCACCCCTGCTTTAAAGTATATTTAGCGATACAAACACCTGCCTGGTCGGACCTTGCTCAGATAATAGCAGTACAAGTCTGAAAGTTGCTAACTTTTTTGGAGAATGGTCCACCACTTTCTTGCTCCAATGGAGATGTTATTGCTTTGCTTAGAGTATTTCACATGCTATTAAACTCGCCAAGTTAGACCTGCGGAGAGGCAACCACGCTCAGATTAAGAAGACATGTTTTTTAGTATTTTTCAGAAATAAAAACACCTGCATGAATACTTGAATATAGACACAATTAATGCCTTATTGTGGAATACTCCAGGCAAAGCAATAACATCTCCAACGAAGCAGGTCAAAAGGCAGATCCTCCACCAGAAAAGTTACACAGTGCATCTTTAAAGGGCACATATTACTCTGTTTTCTGATCTATATGAAAATGTTGTTTCCTCATCACAAACCTGGAGTTGTGTTTTGTTTCATTCACACATGTTTAACACACAGGGCTGCTTTTTCTCTCAAACAGAAAACAACCTATTCCACCTTGTGATGTCATGTGGTAATACATAAAGTGCTCCACTGTGTTTTTAAACTCCATACACACTCACTTGAATCATCTGGATAATTTGAGTCCTGGAATTGCCGATCTCTACTGAACTAAACGTAAATTATAGCCGTTAACTTGAAAACTACCGCTTCATGACATCACAAGGTGGAATAGAGCATTTTGAGTTTTGGAGACGTAAACACACTAATAAAAATGAAACAAAACACAACTCAAGGTATGTTTTTAATGAGGTAACAACATTCTAACATGGCTTAACGCTGACACAAGAGTCAATTTTCCGTAATATAGGACCTTTAAAGTAGATTCACTTATAGAGTATATTATTGATGTGTGGAAAACAACATTTAAGCACATATTTTACAACATTATCAACTGATTTTACCTTTTGATTCCTGTAATAAAACCTTGGCTCAGCTTCTATTTGCAGGATAACAGTCCAAAACAGTCACATGAGGGGCTGTATTGATTGGCACACACACAGATTGGCCATTTCCCTTTTTAAACCTGCTCCCACTGCGTACAGGGACACACTAGTGCACTTTGTGGTTTAGAGTTTTGCAGTAGCATTGGTAGCAATAGCAGTACTAACAAAACAAGTATACAATGCCTAACAATTGCAGTGATGGATTCATTAGAGTGGGCTATGTCTTCTACCTGTGTTTTTTAGAACAGAAATCCTAACATCAACACTTTTCCTGCAAATGAAAGTGGTTCTTTTCTATTAAAAAGACAGATGAAACCAAACAAATTAAGCCATGCAGTAGTAGTAGTCTATTGCAGGAGTAGTGGTGGTAATAGTAATAGTATGAGGGGTAGTCCTTACATTTAGCAAAACATAAAGCTATTTTACTTTTAACAAGAAAACCAGACCAAGCGCTGATTCTCCTTGATTGAGTTTAGAGTAGTAGTAGTAGTAGTAGTAGCCATAGTACTAGTACCAATAGTAGTAACAGTAGTAGTCGTCATAGTTGTAGTTGGGATAGCCATAGTAGTAGTAGTAGGGTAGTAGCAGTATATTTAGACCTATTTGACCTTAAACTACCACATCCTGCATTGATTGACAATGACATAAACTGTCCATTGATTTTTAGTAGTAGTAGTCAGTAGTATTGTTAGTACTAGTAGTAATAGTAGTAGTATTACTTCTACCATTCATGGTTGCAGTGGTCTATATCATATGGTAGTAGTAGTCTACTATCATGGTAGTAACCATGGTGGTAGTAGTAGTGATAGCCATAGTAGTAGTGGTAATGTAGTAGCATATTTAGACATATTTGACCTTCAACGAACAGAATCAGACTGTGTATTGATTGGCAGTAACACACTGTCCATTGTAGTAGTGGTAGTGGTAGTGGTAGTAGTAGTAGTAGTAGTAGTAGTAGTAGTAGTAGTAGTAGTAGTAGTAGTAGTAGCCATAGTAGTAGTAGCAGTAGTAGTCAGTAGTAGTTAAACGAGCAGAATAAGACCATGTATTGATTGGCAGTCACACACACTGTAGTAGTAGAAGTAGTAGTAGTAGTAGTAGTACTAGTAGCCATAGTAGTAGCCGTAGTAGTAGTAGTAATAGTAGTAGTATATTTAGACTTATTTGACCTTAAACGAGCAGAATAAGACCATGTATTGATTGGCAGTCACACACACTGTAGTAGTAGTAGTAGTAGCCATAGTAGTAGCCATTATGAAAGTGGTGTGAGCCTGAGTGATGGTGGTGGTAGGAGGGGCCGATGGCGCAGATTGGCAGCCTCACTTCCGTCAGTCTGCCCCAGGGCAGCTGTGGCTACAGTAGTAGATTACCACCACTGAGTGTGGAGTGACTGAATAATGAACTGTAAAGCGCTTTGGGTATCTTGAAAGGCGCTATATAAATGCTATCAATCAATCAATCAACCATAGTAGTAGTAGTAGTAGTAGCCATAGTAGTAGTATAGTAGCAGTAGTAGTAGCAGTAGTAGTAGTAGTAATAGTAGTAGTAGTATATTTAGACTTATTTCACTTTAAACAAGCAGAAAAAGACCATGTATTGATTGGCAGTCACACACACTGTAGTAGTATTATGAGTAGTAGTAGGAATAGTAGTAGTAGTAGTATATTTAGACCTATTTGACCTTAAACCAGACTGTGTATTGATTGGCAGTTGCGCGCTCTGTCCATTGGCCTATGTAAATGCGTTCCCAGTGGGCACAGGAAGCCACAGGTGCTCTTTTAATTAGCACAACGACATTTGAGTCATCAAACGAGCGCCGCTCTCCAGGTAAATAAGCATCTTCGTTAGCTAGGCACATCCACAGCAACGCGCTATGATCCGATGAGCTAGATATCATCAAGGCTGGAGCGGGCATAATAGGGAAGATATTAGCATTTCATCTGAAAATTCAAACTTTACAAAGGCGTGCACTGAATAAAACCAATGTAATTATTAAAATGATGAAAAAACAGCTATATCAGCTCAGGTTTGGAGCAAAATCAGGGGTGGATGATTTTGAAAAATTTGAAATAGCATTTATTTGAAGAGGGGGTATTATGCAAAATCAATTTTTTGAGTTTTCTACCACGTTATAATGTTGTGCCCCTCATCAAAAACATGCCTGAAGAGATTTTAGATGTCACCCATGCATGAAGCATTTTTGCAATCTCTCCTGGGCCCTATTCCAAACCCTCCTTATGGTTCGCTGTAAGACTCTAATAATACTGATAATGCCTTGCACTTGTAACAAGCCCCTCAAAGCACTTCACTCTAATCATTATTCACTCTCCCCATACTGAGTGGTGGTAAGATACTATTGTAGCCACAGCTGCCCTGAGGCTGAATGACAGAAATAAGGCTACCATTCTACGCTATCGGCCCATCCAGCCACCACCAATCATTCACGCACACACCACTTTCATACTAGGTAATATGGGTGATGTGTTATGCCTAAGGACACAACAACAGAACTTGGTCAGGGCAGGAATCGATCCTCTTACCCTTGGATTGAGGGACTGCTCTAACCACTGAGCCATTCTGTGCAATGCTCAATGACTCAATGCCTGCCTCAGTGCCTACGTCACCCATGGTCCCATTCTTCTCCATGAATATAGAAAAGCATAGCATAGAGTAGTTTCATTAGTGGGATGCATGCTGATTGTGTTGTGATAGCTCTCTGAAGTGGGAGTGGCTTAACACAAAGGGGGGGGGACTCAGAAGATCAAAAACAAAAATGAAACTTGGCCATACCAGCTTGTCAAAGCCTGATCCTGTCAGATCTCAGAAGCTAAGCAAGGTCGGGCCTGGTTAGTACTTTGATGGGAGAGTGCTGGGAACACCAGGTGCCACAGTGGGGCACCAGTGACAAAAACTGTTGTTGTGTCCTTAGACAAGACACTTCACCCACCTTCCTTGTATGAAAGTGGTGTGTGCGTGAGTGTTGGTGGTGTTCGGAATGACCGATGGCGCAGATTGGCACTCGCACTTCCATCAGTGGCTACAATAGTAGTTTACCACCTCCAGGTATTGAGTGAATAAATAATACTCTGTAAAGCGTCTTTGTGACATATGTCTGTCAAAAGTGTTATATAAATAAAAACTTACTTATAAAACATGGTAATACTTTATTTTAGGCTAATACAGCATTTTCAAAACAATAAAAGGTAACATGGTGATAATGCGTTACCATCTACAAAAGGAAAACTGTTGAACTGTTTTGAAATCAAACTATTTAATACCCAGACTCAGATGAAGATTGTGGTCTGAACAGTGGATGGGACAAATGCAGAGGGTGAAATTCTTTATGAATATGGGTAGGCCTGTCACGAAAAATACTAAATCAACTTGTAGTTCAATAAATGAAAGCTGGAACTATAACTTTTGGAGGTCAGCATTTATTGTTTGTACTTTTTCTTTGTATTAGTGGGGGATTTTGTGTTTTTTTTTTTAGTACTACAGTAAGATTTAAGCTGTAGAACTTTGAATATATAACTTCTATGTCACTAACTACTAAAGTGTTTATTCTGCTATTTATTTATTTATGTATTCTAGCCCATGCCCATAATCCTGTTTTATCGTTATTGTGGTATACATAAACAGCAGTATATCACACTTCAAAATATGTGACAGGCCTTAGCTATGGGTACAAAAATATACATTATCTTTTATTTATGTCATTGGTCTGTTTGATGCTGATTTACTCAAACAGCTCTCCTTATATTCCCTATACAAATAAAATTCAAAGCTATGCAAAGTCCCTCAAAAGTTGTAAAAAAGTACCTATTCTCTGGAAATGTACAAGCCACAAACATTCAGTGAATCCATTTGAAAAGATATATGAGGAGAGTTGCACAGAGGATTATCCACTTGACAAAAAGGCTGCAGTTTGTATGGGCAGTGAAAAGAGCAGCTGGGCTAGAGACACACTGCCACCTACTGACGATCACGCACAATAACAACAATAGATTCTCAGACTTTCAGAGTGGTACTGAATAAATTGCTTAGACAGATTATCTTTTACAATACAGTGCTCCCCTCTTCTATCATGTCAATTGAACAGGCTGAGTACTTTACATTTTTCATATTAAAACTAATCTGTATGCGTAAAATATTTAGTTAATGTACTATTTGTGTTTTGAGATTTTTGAGCACAATGAAATGATGAATGAGTATTTTAATGACACTGCTAACAATGCTTTACACTTGTATATCGCTTGACAAGCTTCTCAAAATGATTTTATGTAGCCACAGCTGCCCTGGGAGAGACTGATGAGAGTGAGGCAGCCAATCTGCACCATCACCCCACCCATCTGACCACTAACACAATCGCATACGTCACATTAATAAAAGGGAAGGTAGGTGGTGTTTTTTAAGTCACGCTCTTAAGGTTAACTCTGTATTTTGTATTGATGCTAATATAGAGTGGGTAGTGTTACTGGAAACAAAACATGTATTTTTCATTACATTTTACCAGTATTATTATTATTTCTGGCTTTTAAGAAATAATAATTGGGAAACCATTTCTTATAAACGCGTTCACCCATGAAAATAAAATAATAATACGCTGTATTTAAAGCTGCTCTTTGTAAGATTTCTGGTAGATGGTTTGTCACCTGCTTGTTTCCATAGAGATGTTATTGCTGTGCCTGGAATGTTCCACAGTATGACATTAAACATATTTAACTATATGGAAACAAGAAGGTGTGTTAGTGGTCAGATGGGGGGGGTGATGGTGCAGATTGGCTGCCTCACTCATCTGTGCCTGGAATGTTCCACAGTATGACATTAAACATATTTAACTATATGGAAACAAGAAGGTGACCACAATAGGTCAGTAGGCCAGCTAAGCCTTACTCACAATAAGAATATGTGTGTTTCAAGGTATCTTCATCAGCAATAGAGGCTTTGCACCGTCACGTGTCTCCCATGGCAGCGGTACCTACGCCGTCTTGACACCGGGCACGCTATGCCATTGACTTCAGTAGCATCGAAGAAACATGGGCAAGTTTTGCTGTGTATTTGGCTGTTCTAGCCGCTCTGAACGGGATAAAACGATTTGTTTCTGGAAATTACTCATCAGGGAGCTCAAACAAGGGAATTATCGGAAAAAAGACGCGGATTATGGCTAGCAAAAATAAACGCCAAAGAGATTTCCAATGGTACCATCAAGACACATGAAATTTCATCAAGGTATTTGCTATTTAAATTGTTTCATAGCCTATTTAATGAAAGAAGCACATTTACTGAACTAAAATTTCATTAATTTATGTAGGAAAACCCGCACTAGTTTACGAGTCAACGAACCCGCACTGGGCTCCTGTGATCAACATGGCGCACGAGTTGAGTCGCACCTTGATCTTGCACCTTTTTTTCGATAATTCCCTTGTTTCAGCTCCCTGATGAGTAATTTCCAGAGGAACAGTGAAAAAAAACATTTTATCCTTTTCAGAGCATCTAGAACAACCAAATACACAACAAAACCTGCCCATGTTTCTCCAGTGCTACTGAAGTCAATGGCATAGCGTGCCCGGTGTCATGGCGGCGCAGTTACCGTTGCCATAGGGGACACGTGACGGTGCAAAGCCTCTATAAAATACATCTGTAATTCATTAAATGCAAGATGGATATTCAAAGCCATAGTGAGGAATATTCTATAAAGATACACAGTGCACCTTTAATTATTAAAAAAACATAGGTTAATAATAGCCTGGATCTGTACTCACTGAAGTTATGAGCGATCTTGTGGTTGAGCATGATGTTCTGTGTGTGAATGGGCTCCATGATGCTGTGTACGGTCCCTGAATTCTTCACTGCAAACTGTTCGAACAAACGCGACTTGTCAATCTCAATCTTCTTACCCCCACTCTGGGACCAGATCGACTTTGAGACCTGTACAAAGAGGAAATAATTTAGGAATTTAGTCAATTCAGGGATTATCCAGGACTAAACTACGATTAATCCATGTCAGGACTAACCTAGAATTAAACCAGGACTAAACATGACCTATCAGTGGCTGTAGTTACATGCACACTTAAACTATGATTATCATTATATATTGAAGCTAAAGATTTGTGAAAATGAAACGTAAACAGCAAAATGATCAGATTCTTTCTGATCATGTTCTTGCTGATTCCTCACATTACCCTGTGCAGCGTGCATGTCCTTTAAGGCTTTTTAAAGTTCTAGAACAGTACCTCAGATGGTAAAGCGTTTGCCCACTGATCCGAGGGTCAGTTATTAGATTCCCACTCTCCACATTATATTATTGGTAGAGCGGTCAGATCCACTGACACACAAGTCGGCGGTGCAATTCCAGCTCCCACAAATGAATGCTGTCATTGTGGCCTTGGGCAAGACACTTAACCCATCTCGCCCCCAGTGTCTTTGTTCACTGGTGTATGTATGTGTTTGTGAATGGATGAGTGGCTCCTTGATGGAAAATGAGTGTCTTAAAGGTGGGAAAGCGCTGTATAATAATAATGATGACCATAGAAATCAGATATGAATCAGATTTTAACAAGCATGAAACCACAGCCAACGATTCATGGAGATTCTTTTCCTGGCTCAGACCACATCCAGTTCACCCAAAGTTCACAATTTTCACCTTGATGTAAGAAAGTCCAAATAAATAAAAAACAGTCAAGAGAAATTACGATAGTATAAATGTATAATGTTGTTTAAAGGACACATATTTTGCAGTGTTTGTATTGTAATTGGCATTTGAACATGCTCTTAAGTACCACTGCTTTGGCATTTCATGTTTTAGTTCTTAAAAGAATACATGTACACAGATCCATCATCTGGATTAGATTTTAGCACGTCCTACTGGCAGCAATGAAATTTATACCATGAAAGAAAAGCTAGCTATTTAAGCAATGCTGTTGGCATGTTAAAACAAGCATGCAGTTGTATTCACAGTTGTGATTTGACAGCAGAAATACTCAGAACAAGTCTGGTAATGATTTGGGGACTTCTACCTTTGACGTCATAAAACAGGGAAAATTGAAACAGAGTGATTTCTTCAGTATTAATAAAGAGTGAATTAAGTGAATTACAACTAAAGGTTATGTTTTTGATGAGCGAGTAATGTTATATCATGGTGAACAGCTCAAAAAAGTTCATTTGACATAATATGTGTTCTTTAAGTTTAGCAGATTGTGTTTTAGTACATTTTAAAATAAAATGATCTCATTATACTGGGAAATCAATGTGAATAGACTAGAGACCTAAAATCCATTACCTTATCTGGACCAATCACATCCCAGTGGAAGGGCTTGGTTAGATTCGTCTGCGGTTTTGGTTTCATGGGTAGGGGAGGGGGCATCGGAGGAGGAGGAATGACGGACTGAGGAGGAGTAGGATCCGAGAACGCAGGGGGAGGTAGAGGAGGAGGAGAAGGAGAAGGTGCCGAAGAAGGTAAGACTGGATCTAGAGGTTGTGGGTGCGAATCACTGTTGGAATTTGGCACGTCACTTAATCGAGGTGGGAGTGTAGGAGTAGTGGGAGAGTCAGGTGCTAGGATAACAGTAGAATGGGGACTAAATGGCGACGCTGGTAGAACGTTGATAGGAGATTTGATGTTTATAGTTGAATTTGGAACGGAATTTTGTTTGATCGGTTGAGGGATGAAGTAAGGGAGAGTGTTATCATCAGATGGTAATTCGCTTGAAGAGCTTGGAACAGCTGCATTCGCGCGAGGCCTTGGTACCGGTTTAAATACTTCACTGTAAATAGGTTCTGAGTTAACATTAGCAGAAGTTGCATTATCCGCGTCGTTATTAGCCACCGTGCTAGCCGGTTCTTGCTCTGTTTCGCTATCCTCCTCCTCCTCCTCCTCTGCTATGCTAGTGTGTCGTAGTGAAGTTCTAGGTCCGCCCGCGCTGGATTTTCTTTTCCAGTCTGTGCACAGTTTTTCGATGGCCTGGACCCACGCATCGCGCTCACTTTTGACAGAGATGGAGATGTTTGCTGCCTCCTGTGGTGGAATTCTGAAACTGCAGGCAAACAGACAAAAAAACAGGTCAACTTGGGTTACATGTAATAAAATAAAAGCAGCCACAATGGGAAAATTCCTGTGTTGCAACATACAGTTAAAGATGCAGCAGGAGACTAGAAATATGCATAAAAACGTCAAGATAAATAACTGATAAAAAATATACTTAAATCTAACCAAATGAGACATGTTATTCAAGAATGGGTTATAGGTTTCAGTGAGGGCCATTGTCAAAGCAGGTAAAAATGTCAAAATAGGTCGACAATAGGTCAGTTGGTAAGAGTGTTTGTCCACTGATCAGAAGGTTGGTGGTTCAAATCCCGCTCTTGACATAAAAAAAAATAACAAAAAAATAAAAAACTTAATGATGGGTAAATGGAGCTTCGCGAAGCATTGACACCTCAGTCGCAATATTATCTCAAATGGTTGGACGTGTCTGAGGCCTCGGAGAAACACTGACCTCTAGTGGACAAATTTAACCATTGGCACGCAGGTGTCTCAGCATCGATGAAGTATTGTTAGTGTAAGACAATACTTGTGTGCAGAGCAACACCGTACAACAACAATAATGATGATGATTTAAAATAATATGTAAAGAGCAACATAAATAGCTGTAAATAAAAAAATAGGTGACCTTGTTAGATGGAATTAGATCAAAGTGATCCCAAACCATGGATCACTTTGTTCCACTTGTAGATGCCATCGAAAATTAAACAAATGCCAAAAATCGCCAAAAGTCACTAAAATCACCACTAACGTCACACAATACTCCTCACTACCTAACATTTTTAAGAAATATTGGTGCATCTTTTATACTGTAGCAGTTTGTCAAACCACGGAAGTGCGCTGAACACACTGAAGCACTCTGAACCAATCACAGAGCGGAACATTCGCTGAGCCAATGAAATGCTTCGATACACTGATGTATTTATTAAATGACAAATTGTAATACAGAAAGTAACTTAACAATATACACACAAGATAAAAAACAGAATGCCAGGGGGAGGTGTACATGTAAGAAAACCTTAATCGCCACTGTTACATAGTAAAAAAAAAATATTCATGGACATACAACTCTCCTATATCAATACAGCTTTTTGTTTACACTTTTAGAGACAGAAGATAAGTATAATTCTAATTGCTTAATTAAAACAGGAAAAAATAAAGAAGCGTGTGAGAATTTACATTTGTGAATATAAAATTTGCCAAATACAACAATTAAATTAATTACCACTCTTTTATTTGGGTCTAAATTCTTTTCATGTACACCAAAAATAATATGTTCAAATTTTAATGAAATGTTAGGGTCTATATGATCTTTGATAAATTTTAAGCAGTCCTTCCAAAATGTTTTAGTAATAGAGCATTTCCAAAAAAGATGACTGATTGTTTCAGGATATTCTTTACAAAATGTGCAGTTAGGATTAATAGTTTTAATATATTTTAGCATAAATTGGTTAGTAGGGTAAATTTTGTGCATAAGTTTAAAGGAGACATCCCTCATCTTATTATTTATCAGAGTAATTTGTTTCAGAAAGAACAAGACGTGCTCCGGAGCTCCGTCTCATTTGCCCATCACTAAAAAAACATCATGGGTTGAGTGGTGATCCAGTGACCGGCAGGTTGGCGGTGTGATTTCAGCTCCCACAGATGACTTGAGCAAGACTCTTAACCCACCTTGCCCTCAGTGTCTGCATACTCTGGTGTATGAACGTATGAATGGGTGTGTGGTTCCTTCTTGAATGAGAGAGAGAAAAAGAGACAGAACCGCCATCCCGTATTGGAGGGTATTTGGCGTAAATTATTAGATTATTATTAGAGCGCGCAGAGCTTTACGCACGCTGCTCTGTTGGCACGAGAGGAGCCACATACGCCTGACCTCCTGCAGGTGAGAGCGCGTGGAGGTGCCAGGTTAACGAGTGCGTAAAAGTCCACAACTTTAAGTGCGCGCACAAGGAGAATGAGCGCTGCCGTCGCCTCTTTATAAACTTTTATGAGTTTATAAGGGACCTACGCATTTCTGGGTCCCTGTGTAAGCCGCTCTGTCCTCTATGACCAGGTATAATTCTAATCTTTTATCCCTTATTCATGAAAATATCCAGATTCCTAAATCATTGATCTTTTTAGTGTCTCTATCTGACTGCGAGCCCGGCACCGGTTCACTGTCGCCACATACTGAGTTTTACAGCGCATTCTCGTGCGCCCTGGTCTTCTCCTGCTCCTGTCCATTCACAAAAATGTCTAAACTGCCACACAATTCAGTTTTTCGTGGTTTCTCTGCTTGGCCGTATCATTGCGCCTTGAGCCAAATGCGTGTCACCGCGCGCTTCCACCTGCAGTGTCAGGTAACGCCCCGTAACCTCTTCATTCATAAAGTTCCAAATTCTTACACATCTGTCCCTTGTAGCCGCTGCTCGGCTGCACTCGCAGTACCAGGACCTTTTCTTCAACAATAGGATTCTGCCACTCCGACCAAAGGATAAAGAAATGTCGGAGTGCAGGGACGTTTGATAAAAAATGGAAATGCTGCTACTCTGACAATAACGCGTCAATATCAGAGTGATGGTATGTCGGATCGGCAACTGTAAAGTTATGTTAGCTAGTAGCCACTCACCTTCATAGTCGTAGGTGAAATTTTCAAAAAATAAACTGTGTCCGTTGTCCACTTTGGAGCGGGCTGTGATTCAATGTTGATCAATGAGACGATGTACGTCGGAAAAGGATATTTTCAGTAAATTTATAAGGGATGTAGTCTATGTAAACAACTTCGGTTCGTCCATCGTGAGTTCAATCAACAGAGTGACAATTCACCGGCAGTAGGCGTGCACAAAGGTCACTGAACGCGTATCAGCGTGATAATAGTCTATTTTGACATTTTTACCTGCTTTGACAACGGCCCTCACTCAAACTTATAACCCATTCTTGAATAACATGTCTCATTTGATTAGATTTAAATATATTTGTATTAGTTATTTATCTAGACTTTTTATGCATATTTCAATCCTCCTGTTGTCAAGAGCAGGATTTGAACCGCCAACCTTCAGATAAATGGACAAATGCTCTACTGACTGAACTACTGTCAGTAAATGTGACTAAAACATCATAATTTGTCCTAAAAAGTCAGAAAGTATTGGTCACAGAAATATGCCACTATTTACAACTGAATCATGGCCACTTATGATTTTTAATTTTTTATCATTATGTTATATTATGGCTTATTATTGCTCATTGACTTATTAAAAAAAAAATTAAGTTAACAAGTGTTGCTACATGACCAAACATCTACATGACCAAAATTGACTTAGCATTAGCACGCAGGACTCACTGGTATTCATTTTTGCTGGTGATGAGGCTGAAGGTCTCTGGGCTTTGCGTTTTTTGGACTGTGGTGTTTCCGTCCGACAGGTGAATCACGGTGGAGACAGGGGGCGCCGTCTCTCCATCCGCTGTGGTTCTGCGTTTGACAGGGTTCATAACCAGTTGACCAGGGTGGAGCTGCACCTCATACCTGAGAGACAAAATCAGTCAGGGCTCTACACAGAATACAGATCCAGTTTACACATTTTAGACATGTTTAAAATACACCGTGACAGGTTTCCAGGTTTTTTCTAACTATGACTTGGTTTGGTGGTATTGTATCTGTGGAAAGTATGTTTCAAAGTTTTACATCAGTTAAGAATAAAATACAGGAAGTGGCAGTGAATTCTAAAACAGAATCCATCTACCTCAACAACAGAGAAAATTTACTCCAAAATACAGAGACAATTTATGTGCAAGGACAGTTCGGACAGTTTAGTTCTCAAGACGATTATCAGAAAGCAGAATGGGCCTCTTACTGTATGTGTCTTTCATTTGGGTTGTCAGTTTCAAAGCTGAAATGCTGCAAGTTGGTTCAAACCTTAAATAACTCTCTCTGTGGCACATTTCTGTCTATTTACTGAAAATGAGAAAATCTTGTATGTGTCCTCTATCTGCAGGTGCCTATGACAGACTGAACTACTTACTACTTTACTAAAACACCATTTAGATCACTATATTTAAGATTTTATGCAAAAATTTAATTTTTTTCTTCGAGTCTGCCCATTTTTTTTGCTTAAAAATTTTACCTCCTGGTTGGAAATCTTGACATCAACTGTTTTGTAAAATATAAGAAAACATCTTTATTTAGTTGAAGTCATGTTGAAAGTATCAGAATCTTTGTTTTTTCCATTATGCTGAACTTTTGGACAGAATTCTTCCTAGTGTGATATTATCAGTATGGCACTCTCTAAAATAGATCTCTGAACTTCCTGTAATCTTCAACATATTTTTTTCTACTTTTCTTCATAAATTTCTTCTTGATTGGTGTAACATAATGAGAAGAATTTATATTTATATTTAAGAAGTATTACCCCACCAAATGAAGTCAAAATTAGAGAAGGATCCAAATCTGTCATACGCACTTTAAGGCATTGGTAGTTCGGATTCAGATGTTGATTTTAGAAGCTTTTTTACTTATAGTTCCTTTAAAACTCTAAACTAATCAGAGCAGGTTTGATGAAGACTGTACAGACATGCATATATAAAAACCCTAGATATGTTTTTACGAGGGAATATTACATAAACGGTTATAAGCTCAAACATGTTATATTTGCACAAATGTTACACAATTTATGCGCAAGGATAGTTCAGACAGTTTAGTAGTAGTAGTAGTAGTAGTAGTAGTAGTAGTATAGTAGTAGTAGTAGTAGTAGTTTATAAGGTCATTTTGCAGCACTACAAAACAAAACAAAGCAAAACATAGACTAGAACCCCATAGATCATGACTGAAAGGGTTTAGGCTGAATTAAACTGCACTTTTCTCTCCAATTTATGTCTCTCTTTTTTAATTTTAATCTTTATGATTATTTATGTTTTGATTTGTTTTTATTGTGATTTTAATGTATTTCTTATTCTGTAAAGCACTTTGAATTACTTTGTGTACGAATTGTGCTATACAAATAAACTTGCCTTGCCTTGCCTTAAAAAAGTACTGATAATACGAAACCCTATTGAACAATGAGAGCATTGCAAGAAAGAAAAGCAGCAAGTTTGCATTTTCACTTGTGACTTACTGTTAATATAAGAGACCAAAATATAAATTAAAACAAACACAACCTGGATGTATAATTTATTCATTCCAGAGCTGTATATCTTTATACTCTTTTTTTTTTAAAGGCTTCTGCAGTGTCAGACTTTTTGAAATCATCACTCAGGTTGTTCCATAAACTAACCCCTCTAACAGAAATACAATCACTTTTTCTCTTAGTTCTTATCTTCATTTTTTTAAAGATGTCAGTTCTTCAAACAATCAATCAACAGCAGATTCAGGTTAGTGCAGGACATATGGTCGTTTAGGACTTACATTACACCTGTAAAACTGAATGTAAGATGGCACTGGATTGTAAACTGCACATCTTCCCCAACAGCTTTAGTGTTAATTTAAATAGAAAGAAGCTGTAGTTTTTCATTTATTTCCGGCCAAACATGTTATTGCTCTCAACTGGAAGGAAATGGAGAGACCCAAAGTAAACCAGTGGATTAAATTAATGTTCAGCAATTTAGCACTGGAGAAGTTGGAGAAGGAAAACTTGAGGACTTTAAAGACATTTGGTTGCCCTTTTTGCACATTGTAAAGAATTCTGACATGTTGAAATTATAACTCAAACTGAGTGAACTGCATGTTTTAGGGTGGGGGAGGGTCTTAATGTATGCATGTATTTATTTATTTAATAGTTTATTTATTTACGTATTTTTTATCATGTAATTTTATGTTTCAGTATGTAAAATCTTAATAAAACATTTGTGAATAAAAAAATAAAAAAAAAGGTTCTAAGGTTATACTGACTCTCTTTGCTCGAGCGTATGATTCTAGGCCAGGAGTGGGCAAACTTTTGACTCGTGGGCCACAAAGGTTTCTAAAATTTGATGGAAGGGCCGGACCAGGAGCAGATGGATGGAGTGTTTTGGTAATCCACCTCATAAGAGAAAAAAATAACATGGGATATGTAGGAAATGTGCTTCAATTTCAACTGAAAATCATTACAAAGCATTACAACTTTTACTATTATAATTTATTCAAGTTTGGCGGGCTAGATTAAAAAGACTAAAGGGCCGCATTTGGACCCCGGGCCGTAGTTTGCCCACCCGTGTTCTAGGCCTTGTACATCACTACAGCTGTACTCAGGTCAACAAGATCAAAAAAATGTACATACTTTTACTTTAACAAAGAGAGGATTTGTTGGTGCATAGTAATAATAACACTTAACAAAATGTGAACTGCCCATTTTAAACACTAGTTATCATTAGACTAATAAAAATAAATTACAAGTCTTATTAACTTTGACCTTAGTGTACTGTTTTATACCCACTTGACCCATCTGAAGGAGGCCAGGCCGCCCCTGTGCAGCAGCAGTACCCCCTCTCGGACACTCTGCGGCGCTGTGGAGGGCTGAGCGGTTTCTGCACTGCCCTCTTCATGAGCCGTGTAGATGTTTCCATAAATTATTTTGTTCACCAATTCCATCATCTGAAACAAGACAAGAAGAAGACACACAAAGAGGAGGAGAAGGAGAATTTTGTTATTATATTATATTGTGATGTGTGAGCTACTTTATCCAAATAATTTCCCTTGTAGATCAATAAACTTTGTCTAAGTCTAAGAATTATTAAAGAAACTCTGTTTTGGGGAGGGAATATACCACCTGCTTGTTTCCATGGAGATGGTTTAATTATGATAATGCCATACAATTTCCACACCACACATCATATTCACACTGGGCAGGGTGAGTGAAGTGTCTATCCCATATTTTTGCTTTTAAGTGGTAGCCAGTGTGGTAGATTTGACTTGTGAGGCAACCTGGTGGTGTTTAATGCAATGCTGTGACAGTATCTCCATAGAAACAGCAGAGGGCAGATTTTTCATCCAAAAAGTTACACAGTGATGCTTAAAGATAGTAACAATATCCTGCTTAAATGGTCAAGGGTTTATTTTTACCTTTTATTTTGACCAGGATTTGTATTCACCCTGTGTGTGTCTGTGTGTCTGTCCACCCATGATAATTCCGCCATTTATGGACCAATTGTCACCAAATTTTGTATGTGGGTCAAGCCCCCATGCCTGATGCCGCAAAAAAAGTTTGGTGATGATCCAAGGTCATTTGAGGTTGCACGGGTCAATTGAAAGGTCACACCATTATAAAGGATTGGCAATTTCTGAACCATCTGCGGCCTAAAATATTCACCCAAATATCACACAAGTTGGCACACACATAACCGGAGTACACTGGATGACACAGCTTGAAACCAGTCAAGGTCACTTGAAGGTCAAGGTAACTAAGATCAAATATGTGTTTTTGGTCATAACTCCTCAAAGGATTGAGCTAGAGCAACGGGAGCGGTCTCAAAGTAAAGTAAAATATTAATAGTTTTCGAGATAATCAATAATTATAACAGTTCCTTCCTCTTTCAGTGTATGCCGTTAAAATTCTAATTGGAATGAAAATAATTTCCGTTTCTTGTTTTTCTGGTGATACACAACACACTGATCTACAGTCACACAACTAACACACACACAACTCATGAAAAATGACATTTTGGTTCCACACTAGTAAACACAGACATTCTCATGTGTGACCAATATCACACAAATGTTCATGGGCCTGTACACATACACACATTGCATGGTGGATATAACGATCATGTAATATGGGCTGGGCTCCTCATAAGCTGCTTCTGTGGTGATGAACTGTCCCCACCGATGCCTCACAGGGGACCAGGTTGCTCTCTCTGACTGCGCTTGTTTAATGTTCATTTTAGCTGCCCCCCACCTGTATTAAATATTATTGGACTATAGAGTGTGATGTCATCTGAGACCCAGCAGGTATGATTTACGTTCAGACCTTGTACTTGTCCTCCATAGACGTGGCCTCCAGCTCATAGTCATGGTGACCTCTGAAGGAGATGGAGAACCTGGAACCTGCTCCGTCATCACAGCTCTTCACGATGGAGAAGGGCAGCTGCCTTTTGACGATGCCCTTCTCAATACTGCACAGGAACTTGGTGCTGAAGTCAAACTGCACACAGGACATAGACATGAGGGAGGCTGGTCATTAACTCATTGTAAATCAGTATGTCTTTTGATCAGAGCAGAATACGCTTAGATGAGTGTTTCCCAAACTTTTTTTCTGGTGACCCATATTTTAAAAGTCACAGACCTTCACGACCCAAGTCAATAGACATTATTCGTAGATCAAAAAATAAAGGTGGATTTGACCATTATTGAACATTAATGAGAATATTTTATCGTGTCTCTGAACAATTAGTATTACTCAGTCACTGAAGCAGCAATAAAAGGATCCATAAGTCGCCCATTTGGACATTAAATGTAGCCCATTTCTTTTTCTTTTCAACGTTCAATTGAACCAGCAATACTGGAACAAAAAAGTCAATAAAATAATTACAACACTCGTACCAGGTTCATGGCTCCTGACTTCCCACACTTCCCTGAAGTGCACTGACTTTTGCTGATTTATCACCCTTCTTTTTGGACAACCAAGCAAGTATTTCTCTACTTTAGCTGCAGGAACACTCATTCAGGGCAGGCAGAGAGGATTTGCTGATTCACTAACTCTCTCATGTCAGAACTGTATATTGCAGATCTACATGCAGATAGTGACAAGGCAACTCAAAAAAAAAAAATCTCTTTAGACAACTGTAAGCTGGTTAAAATGAACTAGGTCACATTTTGAAGACAGAAGACTTTAATTACAGTTAAATTAAAGATGACAGCCAAATTGATGGGAAATAATGAGTTGTTTTGGTTCTCAAGACAATTATCAGAAAGCAGATTGGGCCTCATACTGTGTGTGTCTCTCATTTGGGTTGCTAGTTTCAACACGAAAAATGATGAAAGTTGGTTCAAACCTTAAATAACCCTCTCTGTGGCACATGGGGCATTGCCTGTTTGTGTACTGAGAATGAGAAAACCTTGCATGTGTTCTCCATCTGCAGGTTAACATGCCTATGACAGACTCATTTCTTTAATAAAACACAGTCATGATCATTATATTTAAGATTTTACATCAAAAATTTACATTCTTTATTTTGAGTTTGGCCATTTTTTAGTTTAAAAATTTACCTTCTGGTTGGAAATCATGACAACAACTGTTATTTAGTTGAAGCCATGTTGAAAAAATCATAAATAAATTATGCAGAATTCTTCCTAGTGTGATATTATCAGCATGGCACTCTCTAAAATAATACCCTGCACTTCCTCTAACCTTCAACATATTTTTTCAACATTTCTTCATAAATTTCTTCTTGATTGGTGTAAAATAATCAGAAAAATTTATATTTACAACAAGTATTATCTCACTAAATGAAGTCAAAATTAGAGAATCATGTGCACTGGCAACTCGGGTTCAGTTTTAGAGCATTTTTACTCACAGTTCCTTTAAAACTCTCAACTTATTAGAGCAGGTTTGGTGAAGATTGTACAGACATGCATATATAAAAACCCTAGATATGTTTTTACGAGGGATTACATAAAGGGTTATAAGGTCAAACGTGTTATATTTGCACAAATGTACAGAAAGTTGAAATAAAAAGTGAACTGACCTGTATAACACGTTTCTGCCACCTGTAGCGTCCATGTTTGTGAACACTGAAGTTGTACAGGGTCTGCTTCGGCTCCTGCAACTACAGCCCAGACATCGAATATTAAACAATTATTTGCGTCACAATTTAAATTATGATTATTTGAAACATTTAAGATGCCCATATTAAGCTATTTCCTAATCTACTGTACACAGCAATTTTTTTTAATTTTAGGGTAAAATATTTCAGAGTTGTTTTTACCACCAAAAGTGTTATTTTATCTATTTGAAAGTTAAATGCGGGTTTGAGTTGGGGTTATTTGCCAGAGTTGATGTGGTTGAGGTTAATTCAACTTCTCTTAGTGTTAATTTTGCTCTCCCATTCACCACTTCAAACTCTTGCGAGAGAAGACCAGTTTGAACCAGTTTTGTCCATTATTTCATCTTAAATTAACTCAAATAAAGTAAAAATAAAACACCTCTGTGTGTTGTTTAACTAAATCAGGATAACTCTACAAAGTGTTATCTGTTTACTCTCAAAACATTAATATAACTCTGGATTTCGGGGTTAAACAGGAATTTTGGTCCAGTGTTACTTAATTAACATTTTCAAAAATGTTAAATTAGCTCTAGAACAGATTGGACTCATATAAACTCTGAGAAAATGTTAAAGTTGATTCTGTGAGAGTCAGTTTTAACACTCCACTTTTTGCTGTGTATGTTGTAATGTTGTTTCCTCATCAAAAGTACCTCAAAATGGAAAACACTCTGTTCTACTTTGTGATGACATGTGGTAATACACAAAGTGATCCACTGTGTTTTTAAACTCTGCACACCCTCACTAAAATCATTTGGATAATTTCAGATCTGGATTTGCCAATCTCTACTGAATTAAAAGTCAAAGGCAGAGGCGGTGTTACCATTAGGCAAAAGTAGGCGGCTGCCCAGGGACCCCGAACCTGGAGGGGCCCCCTACCAATTGCCCAATTTAATTTTCTCTCAATATAACATTAAATGAAAGTAGTTTACATTTAAATTCATGAGAAAAATAATAACAATCATATGTATAGATGTAAGCAAAAATGTAATTGTAGTAGCAATAAATTAAAACTAAAACTACTTTCAGCTCTGATTATTTAGTTGACTTCCTAACTAAGTTTTCAATCAACCATAATTCAAATAAATAGAGATGTGCATGTCTCAAGAACAATGGGAAGAAATAGGCAATAAATATATACAGTAAATACAAAACAAAAAAACAATAAAACAAAACCAAAAAAAGTGCATTGCAGTTTACTAACTCTGCCACTGGTCAAAGGCAGGTATTGACTTGAAAACCACCGCTTCATGACATCACAAAGTAGGACAAAGCATTTTGAGTTTTGGAGTTGTAGACAGACTAATAATAAAAGGTTACTCAAATGTGTGAATGAAACAAAACACAACTCCAGATCTGTTTTAGAGGCGGTAACAGCATTAAACCATGTCATAAAGTTCACAACAGTCAATTTTGTGTAATATGGGACCTTTATGGGTGTGTTTCTAAATACAAATGTAAAGCTATACTGTGGAATATTTCAGGCAGAGCAAAAAAAACCTCCACAGAGTCAAGCTAACGGCAGACTCTCCACATTAAAAGTTAAGAAATACTTTAAACCCTTGACATTTTGGTATTGCACTGTCTCATGAATGAAGAAACACAATGCGCTGATGTAATTTCGAGATTATCTGTGGAGATCATCTTTGCTGTGGACTCTTCTGGTTCGTAGTTACGTAGAAGTACAAGTCACATTCCTGTTTTGTTATTATCAAACACAGACAGAAATGCGAGTGCTTAAACCAAAAGAACAAGAAGAACGGCTCATAAACAGGACAGTTCTGTGAGGACAAATGCTTGGGTTAGTGATTAATTCAAACAGGTTTTGAGAAAGTAGAACACAAACACAATGGAAAGGTAATTATGAGGTGTTACTTACTGTGACGTTCTGAGCTGGGATCTAGGGTGAGAATATTACAAATCACTACAAAATCACAGTGGCTGCAAGTATTTAGGTTATAAAGTGTATGTATAAAAAAATATCCTTATTTCGATGTGGTCATATTTAAAAAACTGCTGCTGCTGTAGTTTAGCCCCATAGACTGTATGTAAAAATGGACATAGCCTCTGATAATAGCTCTTTAATGACAGTTGATGGAGCTTTGTGTTGTCAAAATTTCAGTGGACAGAAACAAACTGGTGTTAATGAATTCTCTGTATGGGTTAAATCAGGTAAAACTTGAAGCCATAGACCTGATCCCAGGCCACATACGGCACTTTTGTTGACTCTGACCGGCCCCTTTAAACTCATTTGGAATTACAAAATAAACATATGTAACATGTATCTTAATTTTACCTCATACATGGACTACAACTGCATTGTTTTTGTTTTAGAGGTGTTTTTTATGACATTTTTTTGTAAGGCAGCCTCACTTTTTCATTGCTTAGTCATAACATAAACTCTTACCAGTCTTACCAGCTCATCAAGACAATTACTTCTTTTTAGAAATGCAACTAATTAATAGCCCACCCCTGCCACAGACAATAGTCACTTTATTAAAATAGTAAATAGTATATTAAACGAACAACCTATTAAAATTCTAATGAATTAAAGTAAAGATTACCCGATTGTTAAACGTAGAATATTTGAGTTTGTGGCACTGTTGTAATATTTATTGTGCCTTCAAATTAGCAAACATCTCTCTTTATAAACACCAAAGTGTCTCTGCTGAAGTCTTCATTTTATTTGAAGGAGCCGGAAGAGCCGTATGTGATCTTCCTATTTGGAACGTGGTGGCTAGTGTGTTAGCTATGTCCATTTATATATACAGTATGTGTGAACTTTTGAACATGTTGTCAGGGACATCCACTCACAGCTCCCTGTTCACTTTGCCTGATCTACTAACTAACTAAGTAACATCTTTGGTTGTAGGATCTCCATGGAGATGGTACTGGTTTGCCTAGAACGTTCCATAGTATGGCATAGAAAACTCAAGCCGGAAAGTCAAAGTCAAAGATCAGATCTGTGAAGAAGCAAGCCTGCTTACAGTAACAATGTATGTTTTTGTCTATGTTTAGTCTAATGCTATACTGTGGGACATTTCAGGCAAAGCCATAACATGTCCCTGGAGGCAAACAGGTGCCACATCATGTACCAGAAAAATGACTTTTAATTACTTTAATTACTATGCTGCATGACATACCATTTTAGAACATATCAAACTAAGAGCAATAAAACACAAACATCAAATTAAAACATGACCTGTTTGCTGTAGCTCATGTCTGTGTTCATGTAGTGCACAGTCTCTGTTTTGAATCACTGGTGAATGAAACTGCCCTCGGTAACAATAAAGACTCTTTGAACCTTAAATGGTTTAAGGTAGGTTACACTTCATTGTCCCCAGAGTAAAATCTGTCATCTGCAGGTGCCTTGGGTAAACCAGTGGATTACTGAAATAAAAGTGAATAGAGTGTGCATGGAGGAGAGCTACAGCAGTTCTCCTGGGCTTAAATCAGAAAGTCCCCAAAAGAACAGCACTAATTTACCAACATCCCCCTAGATTTTAAAGGGACAGTCATATTTAAATTTACGTTGACATTACGACCCAACACGTTTGAGGTGAGGGAAGTAACAAAAATAACCAAGGAAAATGGAAAATGAAATAAATTAAATAACATTTAATTAACAGGGGTGTAAAAGGTAAATTAACAAAACAGACTAAACTATAGAGAACATACTTTAAACTAAGAAACAAAACAACAGACAACGAGTTTTGTGCCAGAAAACGGGTCACGCAGGCTTACACAAAACAAGTGGTAAAACTAAGGGACACACACAAAACTAAACCACAAGTTCCCAAAATTAAACCACAAACAGAATCGAGTGACCAAACAAAAAAAAGGCACAAAACAAAACTTAACTCCACATGAAAACGAACACAAAATGAACAGGTACTGGTAACCTCCTTAAATAGGGGGCGGTGGCTGCAGGTGAGGTGGGCGTAGACCTGCCCCACCAATCACAGGCCAGGGCTCTCACAGCAGGAGTCAGGAGAACTCAGCAAAATAATTAAGAACACACAAAACAAATAAAACTAAAGGCCTGGGTCCGTAACAGTTGACTAAAGAAATTCTTCATTAACTAAATATGAATCCACTAAAAAGGGGGCACATCTTTGAAGCGTTGGAAAAAGATCTCAAAACAATTAGGATCTTGCACAAAAACTACTATATACATGTAGAGAAGTAGAAGTAATATGAAATGTCATATGTTTATGTGTAAAGGCAAATTAAACTGTCCAGTCACTCACAAAACTCCAGCTAAGTAACTTCATGCATCTCCACTCTGCTGTGGTCCATGGTGTTGGGAAGGTGACTTTAAAAATGTATTCCCCTACAGATTACAGATTACATACCCCAAAATGAAGTTTGTAACATAACCCATTAAATTACTTAAAGTGAGTAAATAAAAGATAAAAGAAAATAAAAAGCTCAGACTTTACTCAACCAAAAAAAAATATTATTGATAGAAGACGATGAGACACGGTCCATGCAGCATGATTTAGTCCTGTTAAATTCTGTTTTAGACCTGGTTTAGACCTGATTTAGTCCTGGTTTAGTCCTGGTTTGGACCTGGTTTTAGACCTGGTTTAAACCTGGTTTTAGTCCTGGTTTAGTCCTGGTTTAAACCTGGTTTTAGACCTGGTTTAAACCTGGTTTTAGTCCTGGTTTAGTCCTGGTTTAAACCTGGTTTTAGACCTGGTTTAAACCTGGTTTTAGACCTGGTTTAAACCTGGTTTTAGACCTGGTTTAAACCTGATTTAGTCCTGGTTTAGTCTTGGTTTAGACCTGGTTTAAACCTGGTTTAGTCCTGGTTTAGTCTTGGTTTAGACCTGGTTTGGACCTGGTTTAGTCCTGGTTTAGTCTTGGTTTAGACCTGGTTTGGACCTGGTTTAGTGTCTGGCAATGAGTGGAATTACCAAAAAAAAAGAAAAAAAAAGAAAAGAAAAAGAAAAAAAAGGGATATAGCCCGAAATGTGAAAACAGGAAAATACCGCTGTGTAATGCATTTATTTCAACAAAGTAATCTAATTACCACTCATTTAAACAGTAATTGTAACTGAATACAGTTACTCATAATTTGTACTCTGATTACGTAACTCCGGTACATGTAATCTGTCACTCCAGAACACTGTCCATAAATCAGTATAATGTAAAAGGTACAATGTGGTACCTGCATCACCTAGAAAATTAAAACTATACTTCAGAACATTCTCCTACAACTGGGGAGGATTATAGCCAGTTATAGTTTTCTGTTTGTCTATTTTGGCTTTAATAAAATTAATTTAAAGACTCTGTTGTATTGAATGACCCCGTTACCTGTTCAGAGCTCTTTTGTTTGCGCAGCTGCTCGCGGTCTTTTCTGGCCTGGTTCAGAGCGTCGTCGATGGACAGCTCTCCTCTCTTCACTTTGTTCATGATGATCAGCTGCATCTCATTGCTCAGCTGAAACACAAACACAACACTTTTACTTTTACTGGTGCATTTCACACATGCACACACATCACACCAAAATTGTGGCTAAACTCGGACTAAACCTGGAAATAAATGTGAACTAGACCAGGACTAGACCAGGATCAAACTTAAATCAAAGTCCACAACAGGAATAATGATACGAGCATAAACTTGGGACAAAACTGGGACTAAATCCAGAACTAAACCAGGAGTAAACCAGGACTAAACCAAAACTAAACTAAGACTAAACCAGGACTAAACCAAGACTAAACCAGGACTAAACTAAGACTAAATCAGGACTAAACCAGGACTAAACCAAGACTAAACCAGGACTAAACTAAGACTAAATCAGGACTAAACCAAGACTAAACCAGAATTAACCAAGACTAAACCAGGACTAAACTAAGACTAAATCAGGACTAAACCAGGACTAAACCAAGACTAAACCAGGACTAAACCAAGACTAAACCAGGACTAAACTAAGACTAAACCAGGACTAAACCAAGACTAAACCAGGACTAAATTAAGACTAAACCAGGACGAAACCAAGACTACACCAAGACTAAACCAGGACTAAACCAGGACTAAACCAGGACTAAACCAGAACTAAACCAAGACTAAACCAAGACTAAACCAGGACTAAACCAAGACTAAACCAAGACTACACCAGGACTAAACCAAGACTAAACCAAGACTAAACCAGGACTAAACTAAGACTAAACCAGGAATAAACCAAGACTAAACTAAGACTAAACCAGGATTAAGCCAAGACTAAACCAGGACTAAACTAAGATTAACCAAGACTAAACCAACACTAAACCAACACTAAACCAGGACTAAACCAGGACCATGCCAAGTTTATATAAGGACTAAACTCTGGATCAAACCAGGACAGGTATGAATATAACTTAGAAAAATGTATTGATTGACAAGAGTAATTACTTTAACACAGTGATTCAATAGTACACTACAGTAAAAAGCAAATTAAATATAGTTAAAATATGTATACAATAAGTCAGTAATAAAAGAAAATAGAACTCCATCTTTCGTACTGAAGGTTTCATTTTCAAGCGCTTTAATCGCCAGAGAAGATAAGGATTCAAATTTATTTTCTTATCTAAACATGCCTTATGCAACTTTTAATGCTCTGCCTGGAAAGTTCCTCAGTATGGCATTAAACGTATTCATCTCGCTTTTATTTAATTTGACGCATTACTACTGCAAGAGGGGGTGACTCTCCGCAAATCTGACCTGTAATTTGGCCAGATATCATTACAGCATTCCATGTAAAGCAATGGCAACTCCATGAAGACGAGCAGATGATAAACTCTACACTAGAAAAGTTACAGAGTGCATCTTTAAAGGAGTACCGTGTATGATAAAAGATTACAGTATAAAATAGCAGTATAAAATAAAATCGTCTTTAATGAGGTGGTAGCCATTCCGTGGAAATAGAAGAGTTAATTCGGAATATTTAGAAGAAAGGGGTCAGATAAAATTTTAAAAATTCATTTCTTGGGCAATTTTTTGTTGTTGTTTTGTTTCTGTTATTATGATTGGGTCAGTCCACCTCAGTTCACCCAATGAGTTAAACCCTACTTTTGTCAAATTTTAATGAAACTTGGTAAATCATAACCAGAAAAGCCGAAATTTCAAATTTTAGTTTGATCGGACCAATGATTTCCAAGATACTGCAATTTAATTTTTTCATTTTTTGTATGGTCGCTGAATTTCAAATCCAATCCAGTATCAAAAATTTAAATATCCCTGAAAAGAGGAAATCATAAGGACTCCAAATCTGGCATACACTGAATGGATATTTGGCATGTCTTAAGATGAGGGTAAGTTAACTTCTAGGTAAATTTGTGTGAACAGAAAAATGAAAACCACTTCAGATTTGTATGATTTGATGTTGGAGTAGACATATAGGACTACAATTTTCTATTGGTGTCACTGAAATCCTTGTATCATTCATTCATTTGTTTTTCAATATAAAACCAAAAATAAGAAAACAAAAAATAACTATTTTCTTCATTTGTCTCCAAAACCAAAATGAAAAACGGATATCAATTCGTTTTTTCAGTTTTCAAGTTTGTGTTTCAATGAAGAATGGAAAAAAATGGATAACGGCCGTTTCCCGTTTACGTGACTTAAACTGCGATGCCAGAGTGAACCAGGACTAAACCAGGACTAAACCAGGACTAAACCAGGACTGAACCAGGACTGAACCAGGACGGACTGAACTAAACAGGACTGAACCAGGACTGAACCAGGACTGAACCAGGACTGGAAAGGGACTAAACCAGGACTGGACCGGGACTAAACCAGGACTGGACCGGGACTAAACCAGGACTGAACCAGGACTGAACCAGGACTGGACCAGGACTGGACCGGGACTAAACCAGGACTGGACCGGGACTGAACCAGGACTGGACCAGGACTGGACCGGGACTAAACCAGGACTGGACCGGGACTAAACCAGGACTGCACCGGGACTAAACCAGGACTAAACCAGGACTAAACCAGGACTGAACCAGGACTGGACCGGGACTAAACCAGTTCTGGGATCTGACTGGAACCAGACCAGGACTGAGACCAGGACTGAGACTGGGACAGGACCAGAACTGAAAACGGTTTAGTCCTGGTTCAGTCCAGCGTCGCAGTTTAAGTCACGTAAACGGGAAACGGCCTTTATCTGTTTTTTCCATTATTCATTTAAACACAAAATCGAAAACTGAAAAAAAAAAAAATCGTTATCTATTTTTTTTTTCATTTTAGTTTTGGAGACAAATAAAGAAGAAAATAGTTGTTTTTTTGTTTTCTTATTTTTGGTTTTAATTTGAAAAACGAATGAACGAATGATACACGGATTCACTGAGGTCGGGCGTGTCCCTTATTGTCAATTTCAAGGTCAAAATATGGGTCAAAACGTAATATATCTCAAAAGTACTCAAATGCATCCCTTGGTTTTTGATATCGGACCAGTAGTTGCTGAGTAAATGCAATTTGAAATTTGGTGACCACGCAAAAAACTGATCCGATCATGCTTAAATTTTTTATTTTGTTTTTCTTGGCTATGACTTACCTGTACACCAATTTTCTATGTAACTGGACAATGTAAGCATTCAAATTGCAATTTTTTTGGGTGAACTGAGGTGGAATGACCTGATTGCACTTCTGCCATATAGTAGGGACGTAACAAACCAAAATATTGTGATATCATATTGTCAAAGTTCTCACAATAATATCGTGGACCATCAAAAAGTCTCTTTGCTTAAATTAAGAGTTATGGTGCAGCAGTAGCTTAAAAAAACAGATGGAACTACATCGACCATGATCCTTTGCTCCATTTCGGCGCAGACTACAAGAAGAAATAACAGTTCTAAGCACTTTTAAATCTTAGTTCTTTGGATTAAATCTTGTCGAGGCATTTTAAGATGAAAAAGTATCATTCACAGTTTTGTTCGCCTCCACAAAATGTTACAATAAATGAGATATATATCATGAAAACATTGTACTGAGAGATTTGGATATTGTTACATTCCGAATCATGAGCCTCCCCATCGTATTGTGAGCTTTCCCACGATATCTCAATAAATATTGTACCGTGAGGTTCATACTAGGGATGGGCATGATTAGTCAATTAATCGATAATTGATCATTAAGAATTTCATCGATTGCGTTCATTTTAATCGACAAACTGAATGTAGGTTGCTATGCATAGTGTGACCAAACAGGGGTCTGTACATGTAGCTCTCTGCACTCAGAAGGAGCGAGACACAAACAGTCAGTCAGCCAACAACGTGCCGAAGAGCAAATGCGTATTTAACGATGACTTGTACAAGAAATTCCCCGTTTTCTGTTCCAGTCGGGACAAGTGGGAGGCCATGTGCACAAAGCAGCACATATGTTTCAGTGTCTAGTGGGAAAAAGCTCACCTGGACACCGAAAACATTAAAAAGTTTTGCCAGGTGAGAGTAGCGCAATGTCGATGACGAGGCCCCACCTCCCACCCCCTGTACGGTGTCCTGGTTTTGACAAACGCAAATATGGTCACTGTAACCTGTATTCCACTGAGTCATGCCGTAACAGCGCACAAGAGCTGTTTTTTTTTTCTTTGCTTAGTTTATGCAAATGAACCATGCGGTTTTAAGTTTTGTTTCTGTGAGAGTTGCGCAAAGCTGCATTAAACATGTTATAATGTCAAATGGATTGATGTGGCTCTAGAGTGGTTACGGTTTATATGTCGTTGAATTTATTTATGCAGATTAGTAGTGCAGATAGTAATAATAATGATGATCATTTTAATATAAAAACGTTAATGATTAATCAATAATCAATCGTTAATTCTCTCGACGATCGATTAAGAAAATTTTATCGAATGCCCATCCCTAGTTCATACCGTGACGATATCGTATCATGAGACTTGGATATCATGACCCTCCTACCAGAATGTAAAATGTTTACTTGCCCAAAATAAATAAATACGTAACATAACATTCTCGTATAACTGCGGAGGATTATAGAGTTCAAATAAAACAGTCATTTCAAAGTATGTACACAAACATATCGGTGTAGTATTTTAATTGTTTCAGACCTTCAAAAGCATTGTCTAAAAAGAGGAAATAACACCAGCGCAAAACAATAACATACAATCTGTGATCCCCTTACATCAATGTTTAACTTGGGGGAAGTTTTATACAAACGAGGAACTAAAATAGAACTAGCCTGACTACCTCCAAGAAGTATAATTTTAGTAATCACAAAGCTGAGAATAGGTAGTGCTCACTTACATTTCCTTGAGTAACTTTTTGAAGAAATAATAAGTACTTTTGTGACATCATACTTTTACTTCTACTTCACTTCAAATTATAAATCAGATGTTACATCCTGACAGTTAAATTACTTGTACTTTTCCCAAATATTGCTTTACTTTTACTTGAGCAAATTTTGGACCACTGCTTTGCAGAATATTATTTTGAAGTGCCGTT